TAAGCAAAAAAGAACTGCCTTATGCCAGATGCCTTTCCTGTTCTCCCAGCAGCTTTTTATTTCATCACACAACTTATGCAAACCATGAGCAAAGTAGTTTTTCCTCTCTCTGTACCATAGCTTCTAGTCAGCAGAGATACTTCTCTTCCTTTTTGCTTTAGGGATCTGCCTTCTTTCTGCAACTACTTTTTCTTGTCTTTGTAGGAAATACCTAATCATTTCCCTAATAAGTTTGACCTTGTGAAGGGTCAGCTAATCAAGTTCAAGCTCCCTGTCTGTTAAAAGAGCAGATCCCCTCCTGATTTTTTTTTTCTTTATTACACATAACAATTACTGTTTGCCTAGTGCTGAGCTCTTTCATTCACAAAACTTATTTCTGTGTGTCTTAGGTTATTATGTCGGGATTCAGGTGGTGAAACTGAATCTATGCTTCTTAATGAAACTGTGCCACAATGGGTAATTGACATCACTGTGGATGTAAGTCATGTGTATACGTTTTACTTTCTTTTTTTTTTTTTTAGGTGAACTACAAATAAATAACTATACTCAATCTGAAATGATGCTTTAAATCTTTACTCTATACCTTCATATATTGTACTTTAAAATAATTGCTCTTAAGGGCTGTGTTTCAGATCCTTTGAGCTTCTCATTATTTTTAGTATGTCCAGTTAAGCTTTTTATTCACTTTTTTTTACTAGAAAAGGAATTCAAAGTACTGTGAAAGGTCTGCACGCTTTTAAAGTGTGGAGCCAGCGAGCAGAGAATACTCTTCATATTGCTGCAGTCTTCTGATACCATCTAACTTCCTTTGGAAAGAACTATCATTTATAAATGAAGACTAGATATAGTATGTGCGTGTTCCAGATTGGAGCATCTCAGGAGTATGACTAACTTGGAAGTTGTTTATGGGAGTTCTGTTGAATGAAAATCTCTCTTGGTTTTGGTAGTTAGGAACTGAATGTGTTTCACACAGCTGGTGAAAACAGGCAGTGATAACAGTTCACCCTAAATTTCTTTCTTTTTAAATTTATTTCCTTCTAGAAAAATATGCCCAAATTCAATAAGATTCCCTTCTACCTCCAACCTCATTCATCTTCAGGGGCAAAAACTCTAAAAAAGTAAGTAAAGCATATTTGACTCTCAAATTTGCAATAAGAGAATAGCATCCTCAGAAAAAGAGCTTGCCATAGAGAATCGTATTGTGCTTGATGAATTCACAGAACAAAGTTTCAAGGTATTAAGCAGCGACGCTCTGAGATATGGGGTTAATATCGGAATATTTGGAAGAACTGTAAGAGCATTTTGGTTTCAATAGGCAGTTGCTTACATTTATACTAAGAAGTCTTCTCCAAGAGCAAAATATTGAAGTTGGACTTGATATCTTCTGTGACGCTTATGGTATTTAATCAGTAAACAAAAGAACAGATGGGTTGTTAAACTGTTCGGACGCACAGTTTTATACTGGGTCATGTTTTCTGTTTCTAACAGTGATCAATAATAGCGTTTTCAAAGGAAATGGTGTGAAACCTCACAGTAGGGAATGCAAGATAGGGAATGCACCTTAGTTGTAACTGTGGGCTGTGAAGGTTAGAAAACAAGGCAAGTCCTCAGATACTGAAGTCAGTGTCGTGGACAATATGCCTACCTTTTATATGCCACAGTTCTGGGTATTTTTCATAAATGTCTAGCTCTTGGTAATCCCTTTTCTAGTGAAAGAATGAGGATTGTGTACAGTACTCGTCATCTAAAGTTAGATTTTTGAATATTTTATCGCTTTTTGAGTCCCCTTTCTCTGTGTAAATTTTCAGATCAGTAGCTATGTCGTGCACTATTTTGGGTGATCCTGATAACTTGCTATTGAACTTATAATATAAAGAGCTTATCTTTTATTCTTACATGGTTTGCTATGTATGGGGTATTGTGAAGATAAGAAATCTGGCTGCTCTGTGTTTTTTTTTTTTTTTTTTTTCTGGCAACCTTTGCTTACTTTATACAGAGATCGACTGTCAGCAAGTGATATGCTTCAGGTCAGAAAAGTGATGGAACATGTTTATGAGAAAATCATAAACTTGGATAACGAGTCTCAGACAACTAGCTCTTCCAATAATGAAAAAGCAGGAGAACAAGAAAAAGAGGAGGACATTGCTGTGTTAGCAGAAGAGAAGATTGAACTTCTGTGCCAGGACCAGGTGAGATTCTCAAGCACGTTAGCCTCTGAACAAAAACGATGTTTAGTGATGAATCAGTCGTGCATTTCTGAATACTGATCTGGAAATATGCTATAGATAAACTTTAACCTTTGAAACCGAGTAAGTGTTTTGACCTCGTATTATCTGATTGCTGACATAAGTTCACGCACTTGTAGATAGCTGGATCAGTGAATTTATATAGTTTGCCTATTTCACTTGGTTCTGAGAAGTAGTCTTTCTAGGATTCCTTACTCATACTGACACAACAGATGGACTTAACAGCTTCTGTGGAATTGTATTAGGTAGCTCTTAGTCTGATATTACAGTTCTCTAATTACGTTCGGTGGAGTATTTTTAGAATAACACTTCAAATTTTATACTGAACAAATGGGCCCTCCTATTTGGGCTCTTGTATGTCTTCTAAACCTTTTTCTCGATCAGAATACTCATGTAATAAGCCATCATCCTACTTCTCTGCAGTACAAATGAGATTCACAGAGCAAATTGTTTATTTTTAGAACACTTCCAGCATCTTTAAATGTTTCTAATTCTACATTTGCAGCAAAGCTGGAACAGGGATTGTGTAGTATGTGCAAGTGCATGTCTTGAGTTTGTTATTGCACTAAGTTACCCCAAACTTAGCTGCTTCTGGAACAGATTTACAACATTTTCTTGCTGATCATGATTCTAACAGAAGCTACACCACTGATTTTTGAAGAGTTGTTTGTGGCGTACGTTCCTGGAAGCATGTGAGGCATGGTGAGCACTGAGACACATAGAGCTGAATAAAAAAGATTTGTGGTTTGTTTAGGAGTATTCCTCTCAGTATGGCAGTTCCTGTGTGAAGGTTAAATATCAAGGAAGTGGTTGTTACATAAATAAGACCTTTCAGTAATGTTATTTACCTACAGATTTACTTGCTCAGTGAAAAATCTGAGCCTTTGTATGGTTTATCTTGGATGACAGTTCACTATAGAAGCGTCTTGCCCAGCTGGGGTGTTTTATCTTTGAATTTCTGACAATACAGCAGACTTGTAGAATAAAAGATGAATTCTTACTCTTCAGGTTTTGGATCCGAATATGGACCTTCGAACTGTTAAGCACTTCATTTGGAAGAGTGGTGGTGATCTGACACTTCATTATCGCCAGAAATCAACGTGAAGGGAGTGGTGGACTCGAGTGGTTGCTCATTACCTTGACCATACTGTGCTGGTTCCAAGAGTAGTACTATAGAAGCCCACTGAACCCCTAAGGTAGATGAGACTTCTAATGACTCAGTACGGACGGAAAGTATACATTTAATTGAAGTGACTAATAGATCTGTAATATAGAGGAAAAAAATCTATGCGACTTAAACTAAAGTCTGTCCTAGTCTCAGCCAATGAGATGGGAAGTCCCCGAGTGGTTCGTGTTGTGTGAGGTGTACAGAGAATGGATGATAATCCAGTGCAGACTTTTGCTTTGTCCTTTTTGCTTTTGTTTTTCCAGAACATTATATCCTCATCTGCTCATGCTTGATATGAAACAGTTTTGGCCATATTAGTCGTCGTATTCACAACATAATTCAGAACTGCACACAAGGTATTTTTAGTACATTCCATTCATAAAGTACCGACAGTGACTTTTCACAGGTTACTCAAACATTTCTGCCACTTAAAGAAATTTGGAAAAAACACAACAGAAAAAGCTATTGCATACTTGAAAGGACTGGCCCATTTAATTGTAAGTGGAGGGTTAACAATAAACTTGTTTTAGTACTGCAACTCGAATGTTGCCTTGAGAGCAATTGACATGCAGAATAGGAACACTAGATTAAATATTGTAGCAGGGTCAGTCCAGTGATGCTGTGCATCATAATAGAGTAAACATGCTTAACAGCAACTTAAAAATTTTTTTAAAAATATATGTAACTACTTCCGGCGCTGTGTCCTAGTTGTTCTAAAGACACGCTAGTCAGAATTTCTGGTAACTGTGCTCTAAACTTATGTGACATTTTGTTAAAACTTCAGACCATTCTGAAAATAATTTCATATGTTTAATGTTGAACTTTAGAAACTCCACAGCAGATTTCATATCCATGATATAAAAATACTTACTCTTTTTTTTCCAAAGTTTTATATGCAGGGGTTTTTTTGTTATAGATGTATGCAGATCTTCTTTTCACTGTTATTTCTAAAAATCTATGGCTGTCAGAGACTCAGAGTAGTCTTTTATACAGTTTAACTTATTGGGGGGGAGGGGGTAAAGGCATTTCAACTTTTGGTGGGAAAATGTGGGACTGTCCCAGAAAACCATTTGTAGCCAGAAAAAAATTACAAATCCTCATAAAGAAATTGTGTAAAAATGACTCTAGTCTGAAGCAGAAGCACAAGTGCCTTCAAAGGGCAGTATATTATTCGAGTTTCTTCAGGAGACATATGTTCTTGCCCTTCCTGTATCTTGCTATCAAGATTTAGGTTGAGGCCTAAAGAAAGTCCCAATAGATTATATTACTGGGATTGTATTGGTCGGACAAAAAGTAAAATATTTTTCATTGTATTTTATTTGAAAAATATTCAAATCATTACCTTCTGCACTCTTAACCTAGGAAGACAAACTCATTGCTTAAACAAGAAAATATGATTCAGAATTAAGCTAGCATGTCTTTTTCACGTCTTTTGAAAGAGTCAGTTTCAGTTTTTAAACCCCATTTCTGTGTATACCCAGTTTGACACAATTGTGCTATAATGGCACATTTTTAGTGATATTTGTGAATTAAATGGTTAAAAAGAACTGTAACTTTTATTGATAAATTGTCCTGACTTGTATTTATTAATAGCAAGGGTCTATGCTTTGTTCTAATAGACACTGCTTTTTTTTTTTTTCCTAGATGTCTTGCTATCCCTTTGTATACATTGTAATTGCTCCCAGTTATTTTGTCTGAAATCGGCCAAGGTCTTAACTTTTCTTTTTTCTAACCATCCCAGAAATGCAGTTTCAGGAAAGACTGACAGAAGAGTCTGCAATGCCAGAAGGGTAAATGATCTGTTTCACAGTTGTATAGAATAAAAGGCTTTAGTTAAAATATTTTAAAGTTGTTTTGTCTATTAGATCACTTATGCAAATTTAGAGATTGGACCATTTCCACTTAATGGTTGTATTACAAAGGACTTCAAAAGTGGCTCAAATAATGGAATGGCTCAAGTAATTGCAGTGCCTTAAAGTTCCCCTGAAGATCTTGTAATATGGTTGAATGTAATAATTTGGCAGGCATGCAGGTCCTCAGTTGCAAGCTTTGGGGTCCTGTTGAGGGGGAGAACGTACTCAAGTAAAGCTGTTTGCCTAGGCAGTGCTTCCTTCTGTACTACAAAAATACTTTGTGCCGTTGCCAACGTACCAACAATATCAGAAAGGACTCTCCTACTATAAGTAATTGGTGACTCAACCCATGCTGACACCGAGTTTTCTGAATGTGAAAGTTTAGCGCTGTCAGAGACAAAATGGGAAACCAAGATTGGGTTACATGATGCTGAAAATGCCAGAGCAGAGCACCCAAAGCCTTTTCTTTGGGTACTCAGCAGGGTTTCCTCTGAAGAGGAAGCGGTTTTGTGCTGTGATTCAGTGACCAGATGTGTTTCCAGATACTGCCAGCATCCATCTTAGACTGAATGTCAAGTAAAAGGATTTTTTTTTGCCGCTCCCTTTTAATTTGGGTCATCTTCTCTGGAATTCTGTTTTCTGTAAGAGTCTTGAAGGCAAGAACTCATGAGGTCTCAGCACAACTGTTCGGGAGTTAGCTAGGGAGTCACGGCTCATTGGAGCATTATTAATGAAGGTGGAGTTCCTGTTTGTCAGATTTGGAGGAAAGGCCATTGATTTATAGAGGTTTCCTTAATTTACAACTTCATGTTGGAAAGGACCTGTAAATCTTTTATTTAGTGTCATACTCTGTAACCAGAAAAACATTTAATTTACCAATGACAGGTGAGTTTCTCTTAGGGGTAATACCTAAAACAGAAGAGCTCGGTTCAGTAGTTACAGCGGAAGTGCTAGTATCCCTTTAGGAAGGGAAGAAGTACTTGAAGGGTTTAGCAATTACTTTCTTAACGCTTCTAATAGTTACTCAAAACAAGCCATGGGCAAGAGAATAATGTGGTTCTATGTCACTGCCAGAACTGGCAATAAAGTGACTTGGGATTTATTAGTTTGATTGTTCATATTCTGTGGGATGGGTATTGGGGGCACTGACATTAAACTCTTCAGCCAATCTTAAGAAAAGTAGTGTGGAAAACTGCTCAGAGAAGAACCTTCACATGTTTCAAATCAGAAAGCTGAAGTGTGATAGTCTATTCAACACGTTGCTCTGACAGTTGCTAACTCAAGGGAGAGAGGGAAGCTGTAGAGGTCAGTTTGCCAAAGTGAGTTGGAGATGCCTGGAAAGGAGAGAGGATGTGTTAACCAAAGGTGAAGGCATAAACCTGCCCTCATGTCGTGAGTCTGGTTACACTGCTCTTCAGCTAGTTCAACACTATGCCTAGGTACTAATTTTTCTTTCCTAGAAGTTCCAGTTGATTCAGACTTTCTCCCCAAGAGTTTCTTGAACTTCAAAATCAATAGTTAAGCACAGGATCTATAACTGTAGGTGTGCTGATGGTTCATGAACAGAGCCAGATGGAGTTACCATCCAGGTAGCTAATAGATAACAGAACTGTTAACAGCATATGCAAACTTAAATATTAAGAAAGTGATTGACTAAAATAGTTTTCTTCGCTATGTAGTCAGGTCTTTCCTCTAAGTAGTTTCTTCAGTCTGTGTCTAAAAGGATCTAAGTCACTTTGTAGAGACATCGTGCAGACCTCATACAAATATCAGAGGTACTTACGAGTGTCTGGACCTGGGCATGCCCAATCTGTCTCCAGGGATATTTTGATGCTGTTCCAGCCATCTATGTTGTCGGAGTATATATGCTCAATTACTTGACTTAGTTTAGAAATGTAACCTAACCCAAACAGCTGCTTTGAAATTTCCCTTGCTGCAGAAGCAAGGCAAATTAGTACTTGCTTAAGGCAAAAGCAAAGAGGGAGTGTGTATAGGAATGAGTGGCAATACACAGGAAATACCAGATTAGCACAGTCAGATTAAATGCAATGAGTAATTAATAGCTGCTTTCACTTAAGAGCAGCCACAAGCAGTGGTGGCTAGGTCTCTCATTTTGAGCTCTTGCCTGGAGGAGAAGAACTTGCCCAGGAGTGGGGAGGTTGAGAGGGGTGAGAGTTGTGAGAGGAATTCTGTATTAAAGACTTGTCCCTGGGACGCTCTCCGTTTCTATTGAATTCCATGAGGCCAGAGGGCAGGAGCCCAGAGGGTGCTTGCCTGGCCAAGGTCTCATACTTCCTGTGTTAGTGCTGTAGTCCTTAGTGCTATGAGAGTCATGCTTTTAAAGGTATGAAATCTTTCTTACTAAAAAAGATTAAGTTCTGAACACCAAGTAGCTCGAAATGCATAATTCAAACCCATCAGTACACACTTGAGTGTCTTGATCTGTGCACACTGTTGCAGCCTCTCCCACTGTAGCACTTACACCAAAGAGACGTTCAGTCAAGTATGGCACCTTGGATTAGCAGCTTCTAAACATAGAGTAGTCTAGTCTGTCAGCAGATGGATGCAGATTTTAGTAATTGTGCAAGCCTGCTGGGGAAGTTCAAGAGGAAGAGAAAAGTCACCTGTCTGAATTTGGTATTTCAACAGCTCTTTTCAGTAGCTGTTCACCTTAAAGAAACTAACCATCCTCATTCACCACGGAATTACCTTAACATCAGATACCGTTGGTTATAAAAGGTTTGCACGTTTATCTCCAGGATGCTTATTTCCAAATCATGTTTTGAGGGCAACTAGGAACCCTGTTCCTAGTACAGGGTTATGCTACCCCTCTGAGATGGGGCAGTTGCTTTTTATGTCAGCCCTGACCATCGGTCAGTGGAACACTGTACTCCTACACCAAGTTCTCTATGTATTAGAATTGAGTAATTAGCTTTGGAAGGGAGGGAGGGTTTGGTCTAGCCCTCTGACATTAGCCCTGCTTGGAGCAAAGTTGGATCAAGTTGCTCAGACCTATGTATGTCCAGTAGAGTTCTGAGGATGGAGGCTCTACAGCCTCTCTGAGCACCCCATCACCTACCACCCACCTGCTCTGGCTCATTAGGCTTACCAAAGACATGTTTCAGTGGAAATGAAGACATGAGGTTTGTCTGAGTGTAGCTTCAGCTCCTAGGAGCTGCCCTAGGCTTGGCCATTGATGTTATCATACTGTCTGGCCATACTGAGATGCAAGGCAATGCATCTAACTCCTCATGTGCTGCATCCAAGCTGTAAAATTAGTGGAGGACATTCACAGGCTACATTGTCACTTTGTCTTTTTTGCCATCGCTCTGGTGCTGCTGAGAAAATTCTTCCAGGGTTTGCAAAAGAAAGATCACTGTCAGGTTTAATAGATGCTCCCAAAGTTTACATAAGCAAACAGGATGCTACTCAACCCCCTCCTAGATATTTGGAAGCAGTAGCTGTTTGGTTTTTAAGCAATATATTGCAACACACAAGCAGACAATTTAAGCCATCTCATTCAAAGATGGCTGTCTTCCAAGGTCATTCTGCTCATCTCTGATCAACATAAAATGCTGCTCTCCCCCTGCCCCACCAAAACTGGCCTGTCCTCACAGGCCTTAGACAGTATGTTTCTCTTCTTTCAGCTGTATCATCTGGTATCAGGCTTCCCTCTGTTCATTCCCTTCCTGAATTTCCTCAAATTAAGGCAGCAGCAGTAATGAAATAAATAATCACAAATGCAGTCTCCATCTGACAGGGTGACACTCCTGGTGTCTGCATTTGTAGCAGCGGGAGGAAGGAAATGCAGCAGGCATGCCGACAGGACAAGTGGATCCACCTTTCTGTAATATAAGACTTGGTACCTTCCACTCACAGGAGCTTCTGGCAATCTTATTTTAGGTTATATTCTGAAACTGAAGAATTTATAAGCAGTTCTGTCACCTCTGTACCCACCAGTAAAGGAACGCTTTCCCCTTCTCCTCCACCTTGTTTCAGTTTAGCTCTTAAAGCTCTAAGGAGGTGCTAAAAAACAAACATAGCTTCAGCCACCACAGAAGGTACTCTCTAACTTGTTAGAGATAAGGAACTTGATGTTACACCTTAACCTCTTTTAGCATTTAAGTGGTACAGCCATACATTACATGAATACAACATTCTACTGCTAGAGGTTAAAGGTCTATACAGTTCTCTAAATCTGCATGCTAAATTTTTCTTTGGACATTGTGAGAAGTAATCAAGGCTTCATAAATATATACTGATTTTTTCCCCCCCCAACAAGATCCAATTAACATGAAGTAAGCTAGACAACAGTACCATAAATGTTAAGCTGTTTATTACTGTGACATTTGAAATTTACGGAGTTTGGACATTTTCTGCTTTGAAATTTCTAAAGGGTTCCTTGGGTACGCCATCAGTTAAGTAAGCTGCCACAAGCTTGAAAACATAGCGTTGACAAAAGCGTAGTACTAGAGAACTGTCCTAGGCAAACAGAAAACCCCAGCATAGAACACCTAGTTCTCTTCAGTCAGCAGGCTCCAAGACTGAACAAAAACTTACTGATAGCTTAAATTACATATTCTTTTTCTTAATTTTTGGCTATTCACACATGTAGCTGTCCATTAGAGGAAGGGAAGAAGAGGAAATATATTCTAGCAGTGTAGGGGAGGAAAAAAAACAAAAAGTTAACTATTACAGACCATTTGGCAGACTAGACTTCAAATCTCTTAATTCCTGAATAATTAACACCTGTATTTAGTGCTTACTGCATTCTTTTAAGGAGGAAGAAAATATTTTGGCCATTCTGTTCTAAGCTACTGTGTGCTATGTCAAAACACTCTTTAAGACTAATGCAGTGATTAAGAAATCTTAAAAAAAAGTTTTTATTCCACAGTGTATCATCTGAAGACTTGTCCCTTGTTTTATGGCTTCATCTGCACCATTTTGCTGAAGGTGAGCTGTCACAGGCAAGTCTTTGTGACCTAGGCTCCCCATCCCATGCTGTTACAAGATTTTTAGCCTAGTCAGTCATTCTGTTCGCTAATCTCCATTGGGCATGATGCAGAGAAGCATCAGGGGTGAGAGAAGAGGAGGGGGGAATTTGACACTGTATTGTGCCAAATAAACATACAAAGTTATAGCTTAAAACACGTCTAACATTGCACCTGATTCTCTTAGTTTGCAGAGGGTTTTCATCAGAGTAGCTGTATCAGCTATAGTGAAGTTACTCCCAACCAGTTTAAAATTCCATGATAAACTGCTGCCCTGAGGGGTATAAAAACCTTCAGGTTTCTTAAATTGTTACATGTTACTTACTAATCATGTAACACAGAGTTCAAAGGGTGGAAACTATTTCAAGACAAATGCAAACAAAAAATAAAGCTGTAAGAAGCAACAGATATCTTGCACAGTGTTCTATTCCAGTGCCTTAATGATTTTTATAAAAATACTAATTTGGGAAATAGAAAAGCATAACCATAAAAGCTATTCCTCTCTTACAAAAGAAACCAAGACATGCTCAACTCCATTTATAAGGTTAATCACCCTAAATTCACATGGAATTGATTTGAATCATCTTTACTTTAATAAACTTAATTTCAGATAACCACCAGCATTCTTCCCTCGATTTTTTTAAACTGTGAGACCACCATACAATCTATTGAAGAGCTAAAGTGAGTAACAGAACACACCCACTCCATTTTGTCCTATCTATATGTTGCAATTTCAAAATGTAAGCTACTACTTTTCTTGCAAAAATAGTTTTAGAGAAGATGTTAATAACTGTTAAAGAAACACTAAAGCAAGAAAAATAACAGTCTGCAGAGTAGCAAGTATGAATAACGGTATCTTGGGGTGGGGAGGGCCTTAAGTCACAAGACTGGTCAAACTGAGGTGAACCATTAGCAAATTTTTCCAGCAAATCAAAGTTGTAAATAACTTTCTTTTCAAATACTGGGAAAGTCAGTCATCATTAAATGTCACTGTTCAGGCAGAATGCCTTCAGAAAATATTTTGAAGAGCAATTGTAAGCCCAACTTTAATCTAAGAAGTTGAAACTTTACTAGTGCCCAAACAGTTTTTGCATTAATTTCTCCTCTTAAGAGAACTGAATAATTTGCTGATTTTGAACAGTATTCAAATGAAGTCTGAACACAAATCAAACCATCAAACCATGTTGGGAAAAGATAATAGGATAGGTATTTCATATGAATTGGCATATTTTTATAATATTGTCTACACTAACAAAATAAATGGCTGTAATTCTCTCACGAGGTCAGAAAAATATTCCAAGCTGTAGCATTACAGCATACTGGCAGTCTGGCAACAGAAGAAACGTCCTTTTCACTCATCATGTGCAGCTTCCTCTTTCTGTTCACATGCTTTTTCATTATCAGGTTTCAGTGGAGTAGTGGATAATAAGCTCTCAATACTGTTTAGGAGTAGTTTTGTTTCTTGGTTATTTGGATCAGTTCCTAGTGTTTTGGAAGAAATTTCATTAGGAAGAGCAAGAGAAGGCAAAGATGAAATTGAAGGTATTAGCTGGTCCAACCCAGGCTGCTTAACTGAGCCTTCAGGATATGTGGTTAACTCTTCAGGGTCCAAAGCTGTAGGATTCTCTGCAAAACGGAAATAGTTTGTAAAAATTAAAACCTGTCACGCTGATAGACAGTGCTTTGGCTTCCATATTTCTAGAACCTCAGCTTGAATGAAATACCTCTTTGACACGTAACACAAATCCACAACTCTCATCATTGCCTGATGAAATACATAAGCTGCGTTTCCTCCCTTCTCCTAAAAGGCAGAATCTCTGAAGGTGCAGTAAATTTTAAGAGATCATGAACCATTCGGTCTACCTCATTCTTATGCTGCAGATGTTTTCTTTAGTGTTACAATTCTTAGCCCTCTGGCCCCCGTTCTCAAAGGAAACAATCCATTAGGTGAAGGATTTTACTTTCTAAATAGGAAAGTTGCTGTAAGACTGTAATTCTGTTTTCACTTTTTCAAACGTGAAAACAAGCCTGTAGTACAAAAATTGCCATTGATTGTAGCAATATGTACTCAGTTTAATTTGGATCATCAATATTTTCAGTTAAAGAATATAAGCTACATACCACAGCCATATAAACATGCCTATTCATTTTTTGCCTGTTTCTACAACTAAATTCATCTATTTCTCCCATCTCATTTTAGCCAAATCCCCTTCCTGACTCTTCAGCTAAAAGGAAAGTTTCTTTGAATTGGCTTATTTCCAAAAAGCATGACACTGTTCATTGGGCATGAACTGATACCATTCTAGAGATTAGGTCAGAGGTGTGGCAATCTTGAATACACTTACCAAAATAAGCAGTAGCTTCGCTGTTAGACATTAGCTTTTCAGTGCCTCCTAAAGTGTCTGCTGCTGGCATGTTGAAAGAGGCAGACATGTCAGACACTTTTGCTAAATCAGTGAGTTCAGGAAATGAAATACCAGACATGTCTAGAAATCCTGAAGGAAAAAGCAAACACTGCAATACTGCTTTAGGTACAGCAGAAAATGATAGATTCAACAAGATGTGTTATATCCAGACAAAAGCCAGTGAAGTCCCCTCCCCACAAAATGCAAATAAAATTATAACCTAAAAAAATCTGCTGAAGTCAGTGGAAAGATTTCCACAGATTTCATTAACCTTAGTCAGGCCCACAGCATCAAAATTCTATAGCTCTGAAATCCAGCGTAGTCAAAAATTACAACAGAAACATCAAGGCTCACAGTTCTGTGTTTAAGTCTCAAACTTGTTTAAGACTTTACTTACTTAGATGTCCTCTCAGAAGTTGCAGGGGGGAGAGGAGGAACAAACAACAACAAAAGAACAACACCACGCGCACACATACCTGGATCCATAACTCTCTGGACAGGGGGAGGAGGAGAAAGTGAGCTTTCTGGTGAATAGCCACTCATCTCTTGATCTGTGGACTGATCAAAGCTCGTAACTGTTTCAGAGCTATCAATCTGAGAAGCAGGTGCCAATAATGGAGTCTGGAGGAACACAATAAAGAAGAAAAGCAGTTTTTTTGTTTATACTAAAAATTTCATCTGGAGAAGATCTTCCTATGAAAGCATTCCACTTCAGTCTCCAAGTGTACCAGTTTAGAGATAATCTGTGATGCTGAAACCGATAATCAAGTCACTGATTAGGACAGGCTCCAATGTACCCTTTCAAGCCTGTATGTTCTTAGAAGAAAAGTCCATACTAAATTCTTGTACATGTATTTTTTTTCCCTAGTAACATGGGGATTCTTCTAATGTGGTTCTCATTTATTGATACAGCTGTAGTATGTAAGTCTTTAGAACAAGTATTTGGAAAAAAATTTATTTCAGCCCACCCAGATGAAAAAGTAATTGGAATATCTCTAATTGCACCCAAATACAATGAAGAACATGGAGGAATCCAACTTGCAAGTTTGAAAAAATAAAGGGCACAGCTCAGCAAAAAGGAATCTCTCTCTTTCTCATGCTATCCTTGCTGTCATCTGCTCAGCAAGATCAGTTCTCACTTGCCCTTCACCTAACTCAATTTCATTCGAGCAAAATTGCATGCTGTACTCAAACATACTGTTTTGTGAATGTTCTAACAAGGATAAAATTTTGATAAAACTCCAGAGGACTCATCAGAAAGAAATTTTTCTTACATACCTCTGTGTAACCGTTAGTAGGTGCTACAGGAGTTCTGGCTTCTGATGATAAGGGTGAAGGTGGTTTGCTTTCTGGCTTTTTCTTCGATATTATAGACTGTGTTGGAATTCTGTGCAAATAGCCATATCCAATACCACATCCTAAACTGCACCAAGTAGAACAAGACTTGAAAAAGGTGTTTTTATCAAAGCTAGTTAAGTGTTTTAAATTTTGACTCTTTAAAAAAAAAGCTAATAGAATTTTAGAGTACTTAATCTATAACAAGAAAAACCTATCTGCAAGAATCATTTCAGTTATGATACCCGAGCAACACTACAGTTGACACTTGGGTATGCATAGCTCAGCTTTCAGTTGACTCATTTCCAATAGTCTTAAAAAATATATACACGTCTACACTCTGACTTGATCTGGATTTGTTTCTCGCTTTACTGAATGCTTGACTGTGAGAATATAGCTAGTAAATCTGCTACCAGTCAACCAGGAAAGTCAACACAAGTTTTGCCATTGGTTTCAACTCAAACAGGATTAGATCCAGACCATACCTTCATAATGCTCAGCTACTTTTTTTTTAATTGAAAGAAGAGCAGTTTTATGTGATAAGTATCAGAAAACAAGGCTTAACTTGAAAATAAAAAGCTATAATTAATACTCTACATATAAATAGCTATAAATAGTACTCTTAATAGGAGTTCATTTACAGTGAGTGTATAACCTGTCATCAGTCAGCGACTGACTGCAGATCAGTACCTTCCTTCTCCACCCCAAGCTCCATTGGGAGTCACAACTACCTCTCGAATGGAGTCTGCTTCAGTGTTATAAACCATCAGCTTCAGTGGCTTCCCCTCATGGGATTCAATCAATGAAAAGAAATCCTCTGTAAAGAAAAAAAAAAAAAAAAAATAGAGTTATTCAACTCAAATCTGTAAGACAAAGGGTTGGAACTAAATTAACATTTTAGGCAGTTATTTACTTCAAAATGAGATTAAGCGATCAATGTTAAAAATCCAAAGAAGGACCAAAAATCACTAGTGTATTTTCATCTTTAAGGGCAACTTATTTTACGGACAGATTAAAAAAAAAAAAAAGTAATATTTACCTCTGTCCTGAAGTGTCCACCATAAACATCAACCTCCCAAAAGACTATCCACATACATCTGTTGTGCACACCATTAGGTTAAAAAACAACAACAACAACGACGTACACTTCACAGGCATGAAGAACATTGCTACTTAAAGGAACACGTGCCCTACCTCCTGAAGAATCTGATCAGATCCAACTATGTAGTCAGTGTATGGCTGCAAACCAGCTAAGGCTGCAGGAGATGCAGGTTCAACATCCTGTGAAAGAATGACATATGTCATCTGAAGTCACTGCTCAATAAGATACACAAAGATCAAAAAGGAACATTAACTTCAAAAATTATAGAAGGAAAGACCGTTTTGCTTATGGGATTAAAAAAAAAAAAAAAAAGAAACCTCTGAACAGTGTATATGTAGGGGTAACATCTTACAAGAAACATGAATAATAATAAAAAATAAAAATCTGATCAAGACACTACCAATTCAAAGATACTTCTGAAGACCTCAGGAAGCTGCATTTATTTAAACAACCAAAAATAGAACAAAAGATTACGCTATGTCAGCCTTTCCTAGGCTGTTACAGTCTTTCAGCTCTCCCTCCACAAGAACATTCAAATTACATTTGAAAGAAATCTTTTATATTAACATTACTTTGATGAAGTTTAGAAAACGTAGAGACACCAATTGAGCCAGAAGGCTTTTCGCATTTGCCGTTGATTCTTCAGTATAAGAAAAGACAAAAAAACAAACAAACGAACAAACAAAAAACCCACACCTCTTCCTGCCGTGCACAAACAGGGATAAATAAGCTGCAAGCATCCACTTACAGAGCAGCACTAACAGTCACCCGCTACTTGTCCCTATTCAAATGGTTTAGACAAACTTTCAAGAAAGAGAGTTTCTTCTTGTATGTGATTTCAGTAGCATATACTTTTACATAAGTTATTCCCAAAACATTACATTTTAAAACCATAGCGTATCAACACAAACCAGCCACCGAGAGTTCACCATCTTCGTGGTTTTTTCTTCCAAAGAAAATTGTTTTAAACATTTTTTGCTAAATATAGTGAGAGAATCCCAGACTTTTATCCACAGATCCTTATGAAAACATTCCTAGAATATCTCAAATTATGAATTAACACATCCTTGGAGTGCTAAGTGGCACATTTCATCTGTTGGAAAAGGAAGAAAAGATATAGTAATTGTTTTAAAAAAAAAAAAAAAAGAAAGAAAAAGGTTCAGTTTTGAGTACTAAAAGACCTTTTTGACATTTACTCTCCTCCCAGGATAGACCCTAACAATTTAAAACATATGTTAACATCTTGGAGAAGTCCTGATATAATAATTTACATTCTGTTCCTAGCTCGGCAACTTGCTGGACAAGCAAAGAATTACGTCTCACCAAAACATGCCACACATGTTCATTGGCTCCCTGGAAACTGCAGAACCTCACGCTGGCACCAAGAAGACCTTGCCCTCCCCACATGTTACTGGGGATCACCTCCACTTCTCTTATTTTCATCGTTTTGATGTTATAAACCTCCAGCTTCACTGGTTTTTCAGCATTTGCCTTCAGCAGATCTTTCAGCATATTGTTTTCTTTATTCTACAGAGCACAGAAAGAGGTATATCGTTAACATAATTTCCAGTTGCACTTGCAGCTGTAACACAAAGATTTCAAGTGTCACAGAGGCTGAACTAAGAACCAATAACAGTCAAAAGTTTAGGTTCTGCCTTCTACAGTCCCAACAGTTCAACTTTGAGTTAAAAAAAGCCCACAGTGTCAGCCCATGTCCTTTTGTGTTAGGAATCTCTGTTGTTCACTTTCATCACATATTCTGCCATTCTTTATAATTACTGTCAAATTAGCAATATTAGATCTCAACTAACTAGTAGTAACAATAAGCAACAACATTTCATTTCACGCCTCTGATCCTTTTCCTTACTCAATCACTTAGAGTCACTGCAATTTGACTGTGAAAAGACTAAATATTTGGGAGCACTTTAGAGAACTATCATTATTTCTGCAAGGTATTAGCCTAGATTGACTAATCCTCCACTGGAATCTACCATTATAATGATCGTTTGCAGACAGGCATGCACACTAATAAAAGCAAGGCAAAACTAATGAAGTCAGCTTGTATATAAGTAGGATGAGGCATACAGTCAAAGTTGTGAACCTTTTAAACAAAAAGTGTGTTAAAATTTACTCAACTCTCTTCTTTCATAACTCACCATGCAGGAACTATGTTCCTCGCCTTGAAGTATAAGCAAGCAATACCACGTGGCACCCTTCCCCTTGTTAATGATTTTTTTTTTGTTTTATCAAGTGTTGAAACAAGTGTTTAAACAAATTTTGAACTCTTACAACTGACTCATCATTTGAATATTCACCTTGTGGCAGGAAGTATGCATGAATGAATAATATTATGAATGCTAAGTCTGTCTGCTAGAAAGTTAGGGTGACTACAGACAGATAAATCTTTTGCTCAGATGTGAATCCAGACAATCAGAGAGGATTTTAAACATCAGTAAATTTTATATTATTTTTAACACCACATGCAACATACAATATGATAAGCTTTCTCTACTGCAACAGCTTTATCTTCCACCTTTCATCAGTACAGTACTGTACTTTATTCAGGAAAAAAAATTATTTGAGACTTACAAGCCTAGTGTGTCCTATCGCAATAATGAAATCAAAGAAAGGTTCCAATCCTCCTTGTTGGGCTGGGGAGTTTTCTTGAACCTGCAAAGTGTACATTTTAGTTTGATTGAACATTAATCTGTGGTTACATTAAGCAACAGTATTAATCTTTACACTTGATTCAGCAGTTACTTTTGAGTTGAACTAGAGTGAGATATCAAATAAGAGATCTTGGCAAGCGGTCCAGCTTTGTGATTTCATTTTTATAGTGGTACTAAGAACAGGTGTCCAAATTTAGCTGCATAAGACAGTTTCTGAACTACTGTACAAGAAACAAGTATTGTGATGCAGAGTGCACAGCATGGAATTATTAAATACTGAGCACCAGGGAGAAGAGCTTAGTTTGCAAAGAGTTGGTTCAGGATTTTCTTACATGCCACTAATTGCTTGAGCACATTAAAAGTCCCTGATTACACCACAGCCATTCAGTTTTCCATAAGCACACATTCCTATAATGCACGGCCCAGTAGAGCAGGAAAACCCAAAGTGAGTATGCTACAAATGCATGGCTATCTACAAGTACTGGTCAAAAAGATGAGATTGCCTAACTTAGAGAAGTTTTGTAAGAAAAGCCTCCCATAAGAGTCACAGTGTCTCAATTTCAAAACAAAGAAGTTATCACAAAGCGGATGCAATACAAATACAGAGAATACCTATTAAAATCTAGTTCACACTGAGAAAAAAATAATAATATAAAAATTAGGTAGAACTGGATATATACAGTGTATATGAGAGTGTATCCACTTAGAAGTATGCTAACAAAGCAACATAATATTAACAGAACCATTGCAAACATGCTAACAATTTGCATTGGTTGTGACTTTACTACGACTTTACTGCAAATTCAACAGTACAGCCCACAACCTGTAACATACTTGAGGCCTGAAAGCTATTCCATACCTTGAACACTAAGCTGCAATGTAGAGATCATCTAAACTAAGAAGTTCATGGCTAGCAAAGGCCACCATTCCCTGAGAGTTATACATACCTTATAGCAGTCTGGTAACAAAGTAAAATATCATTATAATCCTTTCTTTTTTAAGTAAAGCTGCACCTATATTAGAGCTTTTTGCGGCAAAACTGCCTGTGTGAGTTTAAAAAAAAAAAAAAAAACCTGCCTAAAGTATTAGCAGAAGTTTATGAAGCAGAAATCCATGCTTTATTATTAAATAGTCAAGACATACGACTGTTTGCCACAATTTGAACAGGAACGAGTAACTTTCACGACAGCCCTAAACTGCAGCAATGGCAAGCAGCCAGTTTATGCTGAATCAACCTAAAGCTAAAATATTTTAAGTATAAAGAACTGTTCCAGTTCTAAATCAAGTGCAAGAAGCCTTGCAATGAAACTGTCATGGAACACAAACTCAAGGATTAAAACATACACAAAAAGAAATGAATAAAAATTACTGTGGGCAATAGTTTATACAGTTCAGGAGATTTATTCGGGAAGTATATAAATGCCTATGTTTCCACATGAAGTTGCCAGCAGCAAAGAACTGCAGTATTCAGTGTCAGAATGACACCATATTAAAAGTTTTGTTGCATGCGTTCCCGGGAGAAAAAACTGACTTTATTTCCTGTATACCGTAGGTCACAAAAATCTTCAATCACCTTCCAGTACAGACAGCTAAGCAGTATGTTACACTTAGCATAAAAGAAGGAAGTGTTTCATGACCTATGGATTCTCCTGATTGAATAACTCGGTTGAGGGGACAGATGAAGCAGACTACATAAGAATACTGGTACCCTAAATACTACTGGCTTGAGAGTAGCCTTAACACATCTGACTGAATCAGGAGAAAGCAGTGGATGTTGCTGAGGTTAGTAAGCTTTTTGACCCTGTCTCCCGTAACATCCTTGTAGGCAAGCCGAGGAAGTGTGGGCTGGATAAGCAGTGAATGAGCTGGACTGAAAACTAGCTAACCTGCTAGGCTCAAAGGGCTGTGATCAGGGGCACAAAGCCCAGCAGGAGGCCAGTCACTAGTGGTGCCCCCCAGGGGTCAATACTGTTCAGCCTCTCCATTCATAACTTGGGTGATGAGATGAGTGCACCCTTAGCAGGTTTGCTGATGATACAAAACTGAGAGTAGTGGCTGACACACCAGATGCTTATGCTGCCATTCAAAGGGACCTGCACAGAGATGGACAGAGAGGAACCTCTTGAAGTTCAGCACAGGGAAGGAACAACCCCATGCACCAGCACAGACTGTGGGCTGACCTGTAGTAGAGTAGCTTTGCAGAGAAGGACCTGGGAGTCCTATTGGACAAGTTGACCACGAGCCAGCAACGTGCCCTTGTGGCAAAGGCCATCAGCGATATCCAGGGCTGCATTAGGAAAAGCAGTGCCGGCAGGTCAAAGGGTGTGATCCTTCCCCTCTACTCAGCATTGGCAAGGCCACACCTAGAGTGGCCAGTGCTGGGCTGCGGAGTCCAGTGCTGGGCTCCGCAGTACAAGAAAGATGTGTATATACTGGAGCGAGCCCAGTAAAGGGCCCCAAAGATCATTAAGGGACTGGAGCATCTGTCTTACAAGAAGAAGCTGAGAGAGCTGGGACTGTTTCGCCTGGAGAAGAAAAGGCTTGGGGGCATCTTATCAGTGCTTATAAGTATCTTATGAGAAGGTATGAAGAAGATGGAGCGAGACTCTTCGCAGTGATGCCCACAATGACAGGGAGCAATACACACAAATTGAAATACCGAATATTCCACATAAGAATACACGTTTTCACTGTGAAAGGGGGGTTGAACTGGGGAACGGTTTGCACAAAGAGGTTGTGAAGTCTCCATCCTCAGAGACATTCAAAACCTGCCTGGACGTGGTCTTAGGTAGCCTTCTCGAGGAATGGGGGTCAGACCAGCTGATCTCCGGAGGTCCCTTCCAACCCCAGCTATTTTGTGATTTTGTGATGTTGAGAAATATGAACTGCTGATGAATCAGAAAGCAGCATATGGCAACATTCCCATTCGCGTTTCAGAGAAGAAAACAACCAAATAAACTACAAGGTGATTTATGTAATAACTGTAACTTATCAGCAATACCTCTACTTATCTTCTAAGCTACAAGACACATGTTTAAACCAACACGTGTACAGAGAGACGAGATATGCCAAGTTTGCATCTCCATGCAACAACTGTGAAAAGAAGCCTCTCAGGAAAACACTGGCTGGAGCAGGAATTAATCCCCAGCCAGCATATTTTCCAGAGAAAAATAAGTCAAAGCTTCAAGTCCAAGGAATTT